GAAAAACAAACAAACAAACAAACAAAACAAAACAAAACAAAAAGACAAAAAAAGACAAAACTATTACAGCAGACAATATCTAAGTTGATAGAAAGTACTTATCTTTATATTTATGTACAATATTTAATTGTTAATTAGATCACATTATGTTGATTAACTTTTCCCACTTACTAAGATGTTTATTTAATTTGCCTCTTTTCCTGGCAATGTAAAGTTCAAAGGTGTAAACACGCCTAGTCCTAGCAATGAACCCCTGAAGGGAGGGGATACCCTTTTGACATTTTTGTGAATAAATATAGTACTTCCCTTAAGCAATAAAATATGATTAACTAGAAGGAAATCATGTCCAACATCAAATTTACCGAAGATTACATCCTCTTCTTTTAAATTCTCAACAATAATAATATTCTTGTCTCTTAGCCAGGACAAGACGTGTTTCCAAAAAACAGAGAATATTTTGCAGGAAAAAAGTAAATGCTCGATGGATTCGACCTCAGTTTGGCGGCAAACACATTTATCTGGTTCAGCCATTCCAAAACGAAAACGTTTCTCATTCGTAAATACGATACGGTTTAATATTTTGAACTGAAATTCCCTAAGTTTTGTTTCTAATGTTGTGCGGAAAGATAATAGGTAAACTCTTTTCCAGTCGATAGTTAAATGATGATACTTTGCAGATAGCTCCTCTCGATCTTTAGCGGTAGGTGTGGTTTGTTTTTTGGCCAAAAAAGAAGATAGATGTGCTTTGAAGGAGCGTCAAGAATTGGAATTAAGATGTCATTTATCAAAATAGCTGGTGTATTCGGCAGAGGAGAGAGAGCACTGGTGCAATAGTAGCTGTTCGAATTAACAAACGCCATGCTGCTGGCATGGAATTAATTACACTCATAATGAAAAAACTTTGTTCAGGGTTAAGTTGTACATTATCAACAGAAAATAAGTCCCAGATTTTACAAAAGCCTTCATCCGCAATATCTGTTCGGTAAACAGATTTCTTATCAACACAAAGAAACTTGTTGTTACATATGACTTGATTTACAATTTCGTGTACTGAACTCGGTTCTCTTGCGTTTAATTCTGACCATGCAACAAGACATTGCCTATAAAAAGCTGGCAGAGAAAGATTTAGTTTAGAAACCTCAAAATTACAATGCAGTAATTATATATATGTAAATCTGTGAATAGATAGGGAAAATATACCTTGGTTGATTAATTGATCAATGCAAAAGCATTTGAGCAACTTTTCAATTGCTTGCCAAACATGCCTTAATGCAAAAGCATAAAAATCGCTGGAGATCCGTCATATTTCTCAGTGATGGGTATACTTGTACAAAAGGGACACCTGGTGGCTTTAATTTATATTCCTTACTGTTCAACAAACAAGATTGTAATGTACTGATATAAGAAATCCAAACAATTTTTGCGATGTTTTGTACATCCTTGACTACCTTATTATAGGAAATTAACGCTCCATGAAATTAAGGTATTGGAAATTAACGCGACTTAAATTAACGCGAATTTAATGGAAAACGACTTTTGAATAAAGAAAATTAACGCGAAAGAGGGGGTAGAATTTCATAAAAAGGAAATAAACGCGATTATCTTGTACGAAATCAAAGGAGAAGATATTGACACCACTTCTGACAGCGACAACGATGAAGATGAACTCGAAATATTGTAAACCTTCGCCTTAGCTTTTGTGAAAGATGAAAAATAAAGGGTAAATGGAAAGAAAGAAAGCTTGTAGTTAATGTTTTTTAGGTGTCAAGAATGTCTGGATAGGTTCCAAAATTGGGGTTAAAATACTGGTAATTAAGAGCGCGGAAATTAACGCTGCACTTAATTAACGTCGCGGAAATTAACGCTCAACAAAATTAACGCGAATTTGAACGATTTGCTTTAATTTCATGTAGCGTTAAAGGGACTGGTTCACGATAATGCGCATGCGCGCCGTTTGTCTCTTCAGAATAATTTTGTTGGGTCAACACTAAATTCGAAATCGCCATTACCGGTACATTCATTGAAAATCCTTCGTTTTATTCGGACATCCGTCGCTTTGGCTGGTCTAGTTATACTTCGGTAGTGGTGATTAACGTGTGGTTGTGTCGTTTGACTGGTTACGTTTTAAGTAGACGCAAAAAATAATGTTTTGATCATGGAGGTTCAGAAGAGCATCGTGGCCGTCCGGCAACAGGACGTTCTCAAGAGTCTTTGGAGATAGAGAAGCTTAGCCTATCGCTCTGGTATGGTTCTAGGAGTAGTGTGTGGCTTATGAAAAGTATACACGACACTTGGAAAGTGCTTAACGGCATGAGTTCGTTCAACTTTGATCTGATTTTTGACTCCGACCTGTAGTTATACCGCAACAGGCCGCCGGATCTTCACCGATCTGGTACACTTTAAATGTTCCTTGTATCTTTGCTTTACGATCGTATATGTGGAAGAATTGATGTTTTCAAAATAAATTATTGCCTGAATATTCTGTTTGTAATCTAGTTTCTTTATGTGTGCTACTCGATAACATTTGTTTTGCGGAAGACTGACCCGATGCAACGCGAATGAATTTGTTCATTTGCTGATAAAGCATTTGAAATTTGTGCTCAATTAAGGATAATCTTTATACTCATACGTTGTGCGTTTCTGTCACCGGTCAGGTGCTATTTGTAGGTATTTCTGGATTTTTATAAGGTGAACTGAGAGAACAGTAATAAGATGTTTGTTTACAAATTTTGTTTGCCGATCGGTGACTGCTTTGTTAGCGTGGGTACGACCTCGTAAAAATACACGTTGGTAAATGTTTGTTTCAAAGCAGTACAGAGCTGTAAATTTTATGCTTATCGGCTGCAACATATATCAGAGGAGTAGCAAAGAATAAACTTGAATTATGGGGATAAATAAAATCAAACCAAATGCCAGGAAATACTCTCGCGTCGCGAACAATGAATTTGAATTTTGTAAATTTACTTGCATGCATCTAATTCGCTTCCGATTGGTTGAAAAACAATCAGCTACTGTCAGAACTCACACATGCGCATTATCGTGCACCAGTCCCTTTAATTTCCTATAATAAGGTAAATTGAAAACAGAATTAATTGCAACTTTTGCACTCGCTATATCCAACAATTTTTCTGCTAACAAACAATTATACTACTACGTGAGAAATTTATGCAATTTGATTGGCTTAGAGCAGTGGTTAAATTTGCTGAACGGAAGTCGCCTTTACTACAAAAACAATAACGGACTGAAAATCCTGCATTTTGTTCAGTCTTACAAGGTAACCCCACCGTTGCATCAGCCAAAGAACGACTTTATGAGCAAATGACATCTAATCCAGCCTTTACAGAGAGAAATATACAAAAAGCCAACGCTTATCTCCTATATTCTCGTCGGGAGCAAAAATCTTTGGTCACGTATCACACTCTACAGGCTTGTACGTATGTGTTTGGCTAGTCAGCACTTTGACTTCAACATCGCCGATTGGATCTCTGATAATCTACATGTGATCTCCAGCCAGACCGTAGGTTTAAATTAAATTTGCATGCTATTCGCAGCCTACGATCGCCTTTACTTTCTCTTCACACATTTTAGTCTGACCTCTTATGCACTGAGACAGGTGTCTTCTTTGTCTAAAGATAAATGAAAATAAGTAATCTAAATATTTGTTGAAGCATTCAAGGTCTATCATCTCCTGAAAATTGTCTTTTCTTCCCTTAATTGGGAAGAGTGACGTAACAGCGCTTTATACTATTACTAAAAATAGGTTTTGTCACCTTAGACCCCCCGCGTGACTCAGACAAACTTTGCATTCTACTCCAAGGCTTTGTATGGGAAACATACGTTTCCGACATGAAAACTGTTCATAAAATTCGCAGTTAGCGTTTTTAAAATGTTTTTTGAGCATAATTCCAATATATAAAAGGCCTACTGCTATTGGGAGCAAAACCTGGTCCAGTAACTCAAATAAATGGTTAAAATCAGAAAATAAAGCGACTCGATCAAAGAAGGCTACTGAAATCGGATCCCTAGCTCTCTGTCTTAGGCAGAAAGCACCGCTATGCACTGAAACATGACATAACATTATTGGCTGTGTAATACTCCAAAACCGAAATTGCTAAAGAGAAAATCGAGTTGGGATGTGCTTTTCGCAGGCCTGTGACAGAATATCTACGGTGAAAAGCACACCAACATTAGCACAAACCGGAAATTGTATAAGTTTGTTCTGTTGTTGTACGGCCAGGTAGACCATATGAATCCGCGACGAATACTTTAGTACTTTATATCCCGTAGTACTATAGCGTAACATAAGCACTCGAAAAAAAATTGAGCAACCTTTGCCTATAAATTTAACCAAATGCAGCGTCTCACGCATAGCTATGAAGCCCTGTTCTCCACACATTTTAACATAATTTTACCCACAGCAAATATGACGCCGCATAAGAAATATAACCACTCATCTGTACAGTTTTTTTCCACGTTTAACGCTGTCTTGGCACGAGTTGATTATTTTCAGGATATTTATTATCGAAACCAAGGTGGATTTTGTTTCGTTTAACGATAAACATCTTCAAAGACGACGAAAATTTGTTACCGAACGTGACTTTCCCATACTAAACTCTTACACTGGTCAGGTTTAATGTCTCAGTCACAGCAGGGACCAGAAATTTGTGACGTCATTAGTAGAAAGCGCTATTGTCTGTTGTAGTCGTAGGTTCGTGTGTTGAATATAATGCCGCAGAAGTTCGGAAAACGACAGCCCGTATTATGATCATTGGTCAAAATACCAATTTATTTGCCCTGAAGGAAACTGCTTGCTTTCTTGTTGGTTAAAAACAAGACGAAAGCCAAGTGCATAGATATGAAACGTGACACATACAACTTACAGGTGTTTACTCGATTATCATGATACGGAACAGATTGAACGAAGAATTCATTGGTGAACAAGGGTTTGTTTGGAAAAGACCATATGAGAAGCTGAACGTTCCCTGTGATTAAGCTTCAATATGGAAAGCCATCTGGAGAAGGAAATTTGTCTCGGTACTGGTATATCCTTCATGTTTCTGTCATTGCTTATTATAGTTCCAAATGGTATCGCCTTGTATGTTCTTTACCGAAACCCTCTTCGTTGCTTTCGAAAAGCTTTCTCCGTGTTTTTGGCGTTTATTTATGGGGTAGATTTCTTCATGGGCACCGTAGTATGCATTGGAGAAACAACAATCAGATATCTGTGCTCGTTTGGCGACCATAGCCTTCCTCAAGAAGGAGACATTTTAAGAATAATCGGGTACGCAGCAATCAACAGTTCTATTCTCTTGGTAACCGCCATGTCGGTCGATCGCTTCATAGCGGTTGTTTTTCCTCATTTTTATCGTCGTAAAAACAGCCCTAGCAAACTCGTCTATTTTAATACAGCGGTGATCATCTTCTCGATGATTTTCGCCTTCCTCCAACTTCATCCTGGCATTTCAGTTGAAGTTTACAGAAACATAGACCAATATTTGCACGCCGTTTTTCCTCTTTCCACCAGCACTTTATGTTATTTGGGAATGTTTTTCGTTTTGAGGAAGCAATCATCTCGGATTGGTTTTCAAAGAGAAACGGCAGTGCCCAGCAACTTAACACTTCAAGATATGCGACGAGTAAGAAGAGCACAAATGGAGAGAAAATTCGCAACAACTTCATTTTTTATTTTATCATGTCTGATTCTTTCTCTCACTCCATATTTTGTAACAATTATTATTGCATCTCAATGCACCAGTTGTGGTGAACAGAACTGGTTTTCAGTGCTCTTAGAATCAAGTCACGTGTTTCTTTTCCTTAACTCGGTTGCGAATCCCTTTGTGACCACATTTCGCATTAGAGAATTGAAGAAGTCGGTTAAAATAGTCCTTCATTTAACACAAGAAGAAAACGAAGTACATTTGGACGATTTTCAACAGCAACATTTTTCGCTAAGAAACAGCAATTTCGTTTCTTTGCCGAGTGGCTCTTGACCTCAAGTTTCCCGGCAAAGAAAGTTATTGTGGAGCTTAAGCACCAACGACGGGGACGGCTACGAAAACATAAACTTTATCGTCCTTATATCCCATCTCATTCAGTTTGTCAAACGTTGGCAAATTTTTCTAGAGCTGAATTGTTAATGACTGTATCAAATTTCAGGAAAGGAAAAAGACAGTCGTTGTTTTGTGTTCACGTCCTCCGTGTCGTGGATTGACGGCAAAGAAATCTACATGTAGATAACAGCGTCATCATCGAACAGTGTGATGGAAAGTCATTGTTGGGTGGGTCGTTCATGTAAACGAAAAATGCCAGGGGACCAATAAAGCTGCCTGTGGTACGCCAGACGTGACGAGTGACCAGCTTGGTTACGAACCATTAACGACATAATATTGACGACAATCGGCGAGGAAGGAAAGTTTTAATTCAAATTTTTAAAGTTACCGCAGATTCCAAAGTAATAAGCGTTAAGTCGAAGACCTTGGTGAAGTTCACCAAAACCATGTTAACTTGTCCTCTCTCGATTTTGTAGCACCTCTGACCACTTGCGTACCAGTGGAATTAACTGAGTTTCGTAGAAGAGACCCTTTCAGAACCCATGTTGAAACAAGGATTATATGGCTACTATACCTAGCTTATGGGTGACCACACAGCTCTTTGCGTGGTTTGGTGATTGGTCAAACCTCTTATGACCTGACAGAGGTGTTTTCTTTTTCGACAGATAAACTTAAAATCCTTGTTAAATAAAGAATTCACGGCCTGTCATCTCCTAAAAATTGATTTATGCCCAGCATTCGGAAGGCCATTGTAATTGCAACCTATTGCCAAACATTAACCTTTTAAAATTAATCGAGTGTTGGGAGTAATATATAGTATGAGTGGCAACGGATGTTAGGAACGTAAATGAACGATGTACATTAATCAAACTACAAATATATTTGCTCATGAAAAGGAAGCTGCTTGCTTTCTTGTTTGTTTAAAACAGGATGAACGTCAAAGTTATAGATATAAAACAAGACACCCACAATTCAGTACAACCCAGAGATGTTTAGTCGATTCTTAGTCCAATTTTTGTTCGATATCGGTCGAGCTAAGTGGAACAGCAATTGAATTCATCGGTGAACAAGGGTTTGTTTGACAAGGACGATATAAAAAGTCGGCCACAGGTGGGCTGTGATACAGGTTTACAATGGAAAGCAATTTTGAGAAAGAAGTTTGCCTCGCTACTGGAGTCTCCATGATGCTTCTTTCATTCCTCATTGCAGTTCCAAATGGCATCGTTTTGTATGCCCTTTACCGAAACCCTCTCCGCTGCTTTCGAAAAACGTTTTCCGTGTTTTTGGGGTTTATTTCTGGAGTGGATTTCTTCATTGGCACCGTAGTATGTATTGGAGAAACAACAATCAGATATCTGTGCGCTTTCGGAGACTACAGCCTTCCTAAAGAAGGGGATATTTTCCTGATAGTCGAATACGCAGCAATCAACAGTTCGATTCTCCTAGTGACCGCGATGTCCGTCGATCGTTTTACAGCGGTTGTTTTTCCTCACTTTTATCTCCGTAAAAGCAGCCCGCGGAAGCTCGTCTATTTGAACTTGGCAGTGATCATCTTCTCAGTAGTTTTTGCCTTACTCCAACTTCATCCTGGCATTTCAGTTGAAGTTTACAGAAACGTAGACCAATATTTGCACGCCGTTTTTCCTCTTTCTACCAGCACTTTATGTTATTTGGGAATATTTTTTGCTTTGAGGAAGCAATCATCTCGGATTGGTCTTCAAAGAAAAACGGTATTCGCAACGCCCGGCAACTTAACACTTCGAGATATGCGACGAGTAAGAAGAGCACAAATGGAGAGAAAGTTTGCAACAACTTCATTTCTAATTCTAGCATGTCTGGTTGTTTCCCTTGCTCCATATTTTGCAGCAATTATTATTGCATCTCACTGCACGAGTTGTGGTGAACAGAACTGGTTTTCAGTGCTCTTAGAATCAAGTGTCGTGTTTCTTCTTCTCAATTCAGCTGCGAATCCGTTTTTGACCACATTTCGCATTAGAGAATTGAAGAAGTCGGTTAAAATAGTCCTTCATCTAACACAAGAAGAAAGCGAAGTAAGTTTGGACGATTTTCGACAGCAACATTTTTCGCTAAGGAACAGCAATTTCGTTTCTTTGCTGAGTGGCACTTGACCTCAAGTTTCCCGGCAAAGAAAGTTATTGTGGAGCTTAAGCACCAACGAAGGGGACGGCTACGAAAACAGAAGCTTTTGTTGGAGGGAAAATGTAGATTTTATTGGGTTTTCAATTTATATCATGGCACGTGGTATACAAAATCATAAAATAGGATTTCAACTGTTTTGAATAAGTTTTTTTTTAAGTCTGTGCAAACAGGAATCTTTATTCTCTTACTCATGTATATAATTATTGGAACAATGTGCCTTAGAAAATTTCTGTACACATATTATATGTACCCTCGAAATTGACTTTTCTAGAAATAGATATACAGCTTAGTCACCGAATAACTAGACCTTTCGCCTGTTCAAACACCAACCGTTCGTAGTTTTTAGTTTTGATACTTTTGGGAATTCTGAGCAAAGGAAACTAGAATTCTTTTACACAGCTTTCTTAATTTGTTGGTTTCCTAAATTCACTTGCTTGACTGACATTTAATTTTGAGTTATTTAGTTTAACATATGAACTTTAAAACTGAATTTATCCAGATTTATTTTTGCTGTTTAGTTGATTTTATTCAGCCTTCTTCCCATTTGTTTTGTGATGTTGTAATAAGTTGATCGGTTAGTATAAATAGAGCACTGTTATTCCTGTTTTTCGATTTACATTGCGGATTTACTTGACTGTATGATTTACGTTCACGAGCTGAAGATTAAACTGTTGAAGTCCAAGTTTGAGTCCTGTCCTGTTTCCAGATCCTAGTAAGTACCTTGGAATAGTGACGAGTTCCTTTCCCGCTAGCCAAGCGAGTTACAGAGTTAGTTTTCCCCATGCAGGTTGTTCTTACGCCGAAGTCGCTTGAATTCTCTTAAAACTTATTTCGCCGAATTGTGCTTGGAAGGGCAAAACCTATCGTCACGCTTTATCGTGCTTATCACATCTCGTTCAGTTTGTCAAACGTTGGCAAATTTCTAGAGCTGAATTCTTAATGACAAATTTCAGGTGTGGAAAAAGAACGTCGTTGTTTTGTGTTTACGTCCTCCGTAAAACGTGGAATTCGGTGTTTTCGCGTCGTAGTCGTGGAGTGACGGCAAAGAAATCTACAAAAAAGCATGTTGCACGTGCACGTTTCGCTAATCTAAACCCTCTGCTTTTTCGGCCGTTCTCTTTGCCGTCGCCGTCGTCGTTGCGTAAGCTCCTTATTATGCAGCCGTGCAGGCCAAATTCACCCTTGGATCCCGTAATCATGTAAAAGCTAACCAAAGAGAACGCCGAAAGGCCGCTTTCTTATTCGAGCACCTGTCTTGGGCCGCGATACACATGGATATGAATTGAATTCTGACGTTAAGGGTTTGTAGAGCCGGCTATGGAAAGAGGACATTTTGAGACGCCACAAGTGGTATTTGTATTAAATGACGTCTGAAGAACGAGCGCAGAAGTACCATCATACTGATGACGAGTCACTACCCAGATGTGGGTTGCGCTTCTGATTGGTTGAAGCAAACTTCCGTCATGAAACGACCAATCAGAAGCACTTCCCTTTTCTGGGTTGTGCTACATTTTCTGTATAGAATTTCTGCGCTCGTTCCTCAGACGCCATTTCGGGGCGGGGTTGGGGTGTTTCGGGAAACAAGCGATAGCGTTGCGAAGTGCGGCTAGCGGTATGGAGATGCTCACTATACAGTTTAGCTTACTATATTACAAAACAATAAGTTATAGGGATTAATTACACAACTGCTTTAATTGTTTTTCTCATAAATAAATATATATGAGCATGAAAAAGGATAGAGAAGTATGTGGGAGTTATGGCTTACGAAAGCTAAATCACATGGAATTCATTATAATTCTCATTTCATTTCATTATACGCAATTGATTTAATGATATACCTAAAATCAGTCACGTGTATGTGCGTTATACGTAAAATGTGGCACTTTCTTGGTGTGCCAATCTCATCTGCCATCGAAAGGTCCTCGCCTCGAGGAGTTGAAGGTCATTCTGAAATGGTATGATGATCTTCAGATGTTTGGATTTTCATGTAGATAACAGCGTCATCATCGAACAGTGTGATGGAAAGTCATAGTCGGGTGGGTCGTTCATGTAAACGAAAAATGTCAGGGGACCAATAAAGCTGCCTGTGGTACGCCAGACGTGACGAGTGACCAGCTTGGTTACGAACCATTAACGACATAATCTTGACGACGATCGGCGAGGAAGGAACTGAGTTTTAATTCAAATTTTTAAAGTTACTGCAGATTCCAAAGTAATGAGCGTTGGGTCGAAGGCCTTGGTGAAGTTCACCAAAACCATGTTAACTTTTCCTCTCTCGATTTATAGCACCTCTGACCACTTGCGTACAAGTGAAATTAACTGAGTTTCGTAGAAGAGACCCCTTCAGAGCCCATGTTGAAACAAGGATTATATGGCTACTATACCTAGCTTATGGGTGACCACACAGCTCTTTGCGTGGTTTGGTGATTGGTCAAACCTCTTATGACCTGACAGAGGTGTTTTCTTTTTCGACAGATAAGCTTAAAATCCTTGTTAAATAAAGAATTCACGGCCTGTCATCTCCTAAAATTTGATTTATGCCCAGCATTCGGAAGGCCATTGTAATTGCAACCTATTGCCAAACATTAACCTTTTAAAATTAATCGAGTGTTGGGAGTAATATATAGTATGAGTGGCAACGGATGTTAGGAACGTAAATGAACGATGTACATTAATCAAACTACAAATATATTTGCTCATGA